CTGCTCGCTGAAGTGTTTTAAGGAGTGTTTGACAGTGATGAGGGGTGGTCGTTTGACCGTGGACCCATTACGGACGCAGGCAATGAGGCAGTGATCGCTGAAATTCCTGGTTGAAGACAGTGGAGGTGTATTTAGAGGGTAAATTTGTCAGTATGATATCTATGAGGGTGCCCATGTTTACGGATTTAGGGTTGTACCTGGTAGGTTCCTTGATCATTTGTGTGAGATTGAGGGCATCTAGTTTAGATTGTAGGATGGCCGGGGTGTTAAGCATATCCCAGTTTAGGTCACCAAGGAGTACGAACTCTGAGGATAGATGGGGGGCAAGCAATTCACATATGGTGTCCAGGGCACAGCTGGGGGCTGAGGGGGGTCTGTAGCAAGCGGCAACAGTGAGAGATTTATTTCTGGAAAGGTGGATTTTTAGAAGTAGAAGCTCAAACTGTTTGGGCACAGACCTGGATAGTATGATAGAGCTCTGCAAGGCTATCTCTACAGTAGATTGCAACTCCACCCCCTTTGGCAGTTCTATCTAGACGGAAAATGTTGTAATTAGGGATGGAAATTTCAGAATTTTTAGTGGCCTTCCTAAGCCAGGATTCAGACACTGCTAGAACATCAGGGTTGGCAGAGTGTGCTAACGCAGTGAATAACTCCAACTTGGGGAGGAGGCTTCTGATGTTGACATGCAAGAAACCAAGGCTTTTACGGTTACAGAAGTCAACAAATGATAGCGCCTGGGGAGTAGGAGTGATACTGGGGGCTACAGGGCCTGGGTTAACCTCTACATCACCAGAGGAACAGAGGATGAATAGAATAAGGATACGGCTAAAGGCTTTAAGAACTGGTCTTCTAGTGCGTTGGGTACAGAGAATAAAAGGGGCAGATTTCCGGGCGTTGTAGAATAGATTCAGGGCATTATGTACAGACAAGGATATGGAAGGATATGAGTACAGTGGAGGTACACCTAAGCATTGGGTAACGATGAATGAGGTAGCATCACTGGAGGTACCAAATGAGCCGGTCTCCGCGAGTATGGGGGGTGGGACAAAGGATCTCTCTGAGGATGGTTGAGCGGGACTGGGGGCTCTACAGTGAAATTGTATAATAAGAACTAGCCCAAACAGCAATAGGCTAGGCATATTGACATGGGAGAGAGGCATAACGCAATCACAGGTGTTATTCCAGAGGGCTAAGACAACAACTGGTAATGGCGATGAAAGTTTAGGGCTGAGGCTAAACAGATAAACAGGATAGGGGTAACCGTGTAAAGGAACAGTCCAGCAGGCATCAGCTGTGTAGCTGAGTGATCATAAGGTCCAGTGAGCAGCAATAGGTAAGTCCGGGAGCAGTTCATAGGCTGCTACAGCACAGGCGAGCAGGAGGCACGGCTGTTGATTGCGCGTGCTAGCGGGCCGGGGCTAGCAGATGGATCTTCGTGGTCGTTGCAACGGGAAGCCTGTTGAAACCACATCAGACGATTACGTCGGCAGACCAGTCGTGATGGATCGGCGGGGCTCCGTGTCGACACTAGGAGGTCCCGTCTGGTTGACAGAGAGGTAGATAGCCGGGAGATGGGCCTGGTTCGAGGCTAGCTCAAGGCTAACTGGTGCATCGGGACAGTGGTGAATTAGCCAACAACAACAACAACAGCCATTCGGTTGCAGCTAGCTAGTTGCGATGATCCGGTGTTAAGGTCCAGTGATTCAGTGATTCTGGCAGAAAATCCGATATGCTCTGGGTCGAGAGCACGCTGTGCAGACTGGCCGATAATTGTCCAGGCTAGAGCTGGCTGGTAGGTAGTGCAGGCCACGGACAGTGGTGAAGACCGCTAACGGTGGCTAATAGCAAGTAGCTAGTTAGCTGGCTAGCTGGCTAGTTTCAGCCGTAGGTTCTTGATAAAAATAAAGAAATAATAGAATCCGTTCCACATTGGGTGAGGCGGGTTGCAGGAAAGTATATTTAGTTAAAGAATGGAAAGTGAGATAGAGAAATATATACGAAAAAAGACTAAAAAAACTAAAAAAACAGGCTATTTACACGAGGACACAACAGAATCCACGACCACACTGCTACGCCATCTTGGTTCATGAGTGTGGTGGTGACAGCTTTGTTACTGAGGTATTGTCATGATAAACAAACATGACGGGCAATGAAACATTCGGTACAGTACACTACGCCAGTAATGTCAAAACTGATTGGTGACTCTCTACGTTGGAATTGCGAGGCTACCTCACTCATCCGATAACTTTATTCATTGTATTTATGGCAGGCAGCAGAGGGCTAGGCTCTACTTGCACCAGGCAGACACAGACACAGGCGGGAAGGCAATGCTCAGCGGTAGCTGACTATTCACATCAACCACAGTCACCGTGTTGATTATCAATAAACCTCTACTGTAACTGTATTTTAACAACAAGTTACCTATTCATCTCCATTGTTTCCCTTTGAAATGTCTGACTGTAACTGTGGCCCTGCACTCCTGTACCATTAGGTTAGTTACCTGAAAGGACCTCTGGACCTGTCATTAGGCTCTATGACCAAGCTTGTGGAGTGCATAATAATATCCCATTGATTCACAAGGAAATCATTTCTGCAGAAAATATGAGATAGAGCTAGTCTCTTTCTTTTTGTGCTACTGCACCTTGGGGTGAGGTTTGGTCTAGCATTGATTTGCCTTGGGGTGAGGTTTGGTCTAGCATTGATTAGCTTTGGGGTGAGGTTTGGTCTAGCATTAATTAGCCTTGGGGTGAGGTTTGGTCTAGTATTGATTAGCCTTGGGGTGAGGTTTGGTCTAGCATTGATTAGCCTTGGGGTGAGGTTTGGTCTAGCATTGATTAGCCTTGGGGTGAGGTTTGGTCTAGCATTGATTAGCCTTGGGGTGAGGTTTGGTCTAGCATTGATTAGCCTTGGGGTGAGGTTTGGTCTAGCATTGATTAGCCTTAGGGTGAGGTTTGGTCTAGCATTGATTAGCCTTGGGGTGAGGTTTGGTCTAGCATTGATTAGCCTTGGGGTGAGGTTTGGTCTAGCATTTTGAATGTCTATTTTCCATCCTGTGTTTGGGCATAGAGAGTAGAAAATTACGTCTGTACTGACCTGCTTGGGCTTTTGTGGCTCATTTCAAGTTTAATTGGAGAGCTGCTTTGCCTGCATGCTGGAAAAGATCTTGGTAATGTGTCTGCTGGAGTTTATTTTTTTATTTTTGTTTAGTCATTTAGCAGACGCTCTTATCCAGAGCGACTTACATGAGCAATTAGGGTTAAGTGCCTTGCTCAAGGGCACATCGACAGATCTTTCACCTAGTCGGCTCGGGGATTAGAACCAGCGACCTTTCGGTTACTGGCACAACGCTCTTAACCACTAAGCTACCTGCCGCCGGAGTTCAGAGATAATGACGAAAGCAGACCTACGTCGGTTAAGTTGCTCAGCAAAAGCTGCATGAACAGGAAATCTACAGCTGTGTTGAATTGCTTACCTCACTACTGTCCCATTGCCCTGATCTTAAAATATGCTTTACTGTAAGTCAGGGACCACAGACACATCTCTGTCACGGTTCACCTTTGAACTATGTCCAGTTTGGCTTTAAAAAGATTCGAGTTAGGTGGGGAAGTTGACGTTTGTTATTCCTTTGCTGTAGTTTGTTTCTCTCTCACCCATGTCGGGTAACTCTGCCTCGTCCTTTGTAGTGGCGCTTTGTTTCTTTCCTCTACTCTAAAGACGTTACGTTGAAAGGTTTCTGCTTAAGGAATCAGTATGAAGTAAAAAGCTAGAGAGGATAGGGGGGTACAAAACACTCTCTTGTACAGTTATCATCAGGGGGAATCTCCTTTCAAGTGGGATGCGTCAGATAGGTCTCCAAGGGGAACTCAGAACTACACTCCTAACCGGGATGAAAATGTCCTGTTAAGAGTGAAGCACAACAGAAGGGATCTCCAACAATAGTTGCCATTCATAAATCCTCCTACATATCAAGACATTACTCATGTCTAAAATGAGTCCCACATATACAGTAATTCATTCACAAAATGTATCTGTCTTAGTGAAAAACGGTCTTACTGGAAATGAAGTCCTACTGAGGAGGTTCTGTGTCATCAGGAGTTGGCTAGAGGCCTTGTGAATGGGTAATGAGGGTTGAACGTGTCAAGATATTTTCTGTGAGGACTGGCATACTGAAAGCACTGAGTTATTCTAGTGGTATTATGTTGATACTATTTTTATTTTATTTAACCTTTATTTAACTAGGCAAGTCAGTTAAGAACAAATTCTTACTTACAATGACGGCCTACCCCGGCCAAACCCGGACGACGCTGGGCCAATTGTGCGCCGCCCTATGGGACTCCCAATCACGGCCAGATTGTGATACAGCCTGGAATCGAACCAGGGTCTGTAGTGACGCCTCTAGCACTGAGATGCAGTGCCTCAGACAGCTGCGCCACTCGGGAACCCAATCTGTGTTACGTCATTCCATCCCATCACTAAACACCCACCACCAGCTGAAGGAAACAGCCTTTATCGAGAGAACAGGAGTAAGGTGGTGGAGGTGTTGAGACACAGAGCCCAGCTCCTCAGGGAGGGAGGGAGCCCCATCGCTGGGCTGGGTGGCTGAGAGCCAGGCTGAAGGCCCTGGGTGTGTCTGTCTGTGTGTGGTTCCCTGGCCCTGCCTGGAGCTCAACAATGTGGAGGAAAGTAGCATCCCATTCTGGCCCCGCCTCCCTCTCTGCCCTCCAGAACCTCCACAGACCTGAGACCATTCTCTAGCATGGAACAATATTTTCCGGAACATTCAGTAAACCAGGTCCACATTCTGTAGTACTGAGAAAATAACATGTTAGGAATCCCGAAGGATTTCTTGTATAGTTCTCTTTTCTTAATCTGTCGTGATTTACCGTGTCGAGTTCATTTTCAGAGCATCACTCTACACTCATCCAGTCTCATAATTGAACCAGAGCCTGCCATGAACTTGATATAATTAGCTAAATAAAACTGTTTTCCGTCCACAGATTTCAACTCAGAGACGCCAAGGAAGAACTCTCTACCCCACAGTGCCTGAGAACGCCGAGAAGGAGGCACAGAGTCTGTTTGTCCAAGAGGTAAGATCCAAGAGTGCAATAACCCTGCAGGAATTAACCTTTGTGCAGGGAGAGCGGTGGTTTTATTGACAGTTAGATGTTGGCATTGAGATGTGCCATTACTTGCACCATGCAGCCATATTAAAAACGGACATTAGAGTCAGTCTTCAGCCAGCTTCTGACCTGGCATTGATGTACATGGCGGTCTGTACAAGATCAATAGATATGGAAACACACTGGGCTGCACGCACTTTAGGGTCTGTGATGATTTCCCCATTGTTTATTGAAAGTGTCCAGCCGAACCGAACTTCCATTTCACCTAGCACATACTTTTGTTACACAATGGTGTTTTATTGTTCAGTACAAGACAGGCTTAGGAATTATGGGACGTTACTGGAAGCCATCCAGTCAACGGGAGTATTTTCATTCTCTTCAATAACATCTGTTCAGGCCAGGAGACCAAAAAAAACCGATCAACAGAATCCAGATCCAAAGTAAATGGATTGTTCTTCATCCCTTCAGAGCCCTGGTTACAGTAGCACCTCCCTGGTAAAGCCTGGCAAATGCCTTCTGCAACTAAGTGGTTGTCACGTTCGTTGATTGACGGGACGGACCAAGGCGCAGCGTGATATGCATACATGTTTATTTATACTGAATAAACACCACGAGAAAACAACAAATGAAACGAAACGTGACGTCCAAGGTAGACAAACAACATACCTCACACGGAACAAGATCCCACAACCCACTAGTGCCAATAGGCTGCCTAAGTATGGTCCCCAATCAGAGACAACGAGCGACAGCTGCCTCTGATTGGGAACCACACCGGCCAACATAGATCTACACATAATAGAATATCAACATAGAAATGCACAACCTAGAACATACACACCCTGACTCAACATATACGAGTCCCCAGAGTCAGGGCGTGACAGTGGTATTGAAATCGATCTTGAAATCAGAATATAGTCAGGCTTTACTGTACATTGTGATCCCATACCGTAGTCTATTAAGTAGTTAATAAAGGTTAAATGAAAAAATAGGACAGTCTGACCTTAACCCTTTACATTCGTGGGAATTGGCCTTTATGGATAGGGCTGCATTGAAATGTTTCTTACAGAAGAAATATACATTTACATTACATTTAAGTCATTTAGCAGACGCTCTTATCCAGAGCGACTTACAGTTAATGAACACATTATTATTTTTTTATACTGGCCCCCCGTGGGAATTGAACCCACAACCCTGGCGTTGCAAACGCCATGCTCTATCAACTGAGCTACATCCCTGCCGGCCATTCCCTCCCCTACCCTGGGCCAATTGTGCGCCGCCCATGAGTCTCCCGGTCGTGGCCGGCTGCGACAGAGGCTGGATTCGAACCAGGATCTCTAGTGGCACAGTTAGCACTGCAAAGCAGTGCCTTAGACCACTGCGCCACTCAGGAGTACATGAAAAGCATATGCGTAACCATGGTAGAAATTGAAAGGGAACAGTTTGGTGATAATGGGAGAATTATTAGACCAAAGTTGACTGCACAAAAAAGTTCACCAGACACAAGACTGAATCCAAAACATTACACTGTTGATTTTATGTGCATTTTACATTCACTGTACTTTTTGCCGCATTTGTTGATAACGAAATCTGAATTCTCTGGACAGTAACATGATAAAACTATTCCTGGAAAGTGTGGGGGTAGGTGCAACGTAAGACAAAAAAAAGTACAATGGTTTGAGAGAGAGGAATAACTGCTGTCTCCAAAGTGTGCACAGTTACCAAGTAATTTCAATGCACGTTTATGACTCAAAGAAGAGTCTTCAACTATAAGGTACTTTTTTTTTTTAGCTCTCCTAGCTGTGCTGTTGAGGAACTACAGTAAACACACTTGTAGTTGTTTTGTTTGGAACACAGCCCTGCATCCCCTCCATCACACAATTACTGGTTGTTGTTTACGCAATCCAAAAACGGTCCATTTATAAATCGCAATCTGGGTCAGGTGGGCATGATTTGAAAGCTTGTTCTATTGCCAACATGACTAGCTAAGTTATAAAATGCAATGTTATAGCGTTAGGTTTTCACAAAGGAATTCAGAGAAACAAATCGTCATTTCGAATGCTCATAGAACGCAGTCATGAGTGCATTCATGTGTGTATGATGTTGTGTCCAAATCTGCAATTTTCAACCTGTGTGTGGGTACGAGTGTAAAGGGCTATAGTCTTGCTTAAACACACAATCTACCTGAGCCACACAGTGGTTTGCTGTCCTTGTGTCCTGTGTGAACAGTTGGACACTTAATGGACACACTGCTTCCAGTTTAACGCTGAAAGCTCTGTAAACCAGAGGCAACTGGCTGCTGACCACTCAGGTCATGGGGTCAGAGTTTAGGGAGTCCAGTCTTCAGTAATGGAGAAACACCTTTTGGTCAGGTGCAATATGATATCAGCAGGACAGCTGCAGAGTACAAGCCGCTCTGTTTTCCATTCCTATAGCCTGATCAGATTTCCTTTCCTCGGCAGCAGGACTCCCCTGTCAGGCCACTTCTTGTAAACTGCACACAACTCTATATAAATACCATTCTGTATGTTCATATCAATCAGTGACAGATGTCTCCCCCCAGATTGAGAGATGTAGATGGATATGTTCCCTCCCAGTTCGGACGGGGTTCCTCTAATGCCTACTTGATGATCCCTGAAGTCTGGGGTGAAGCGTCAAACACACACGCCTTAAAAGTTCCTGCTCTGGAGTAACTGTGGATGGGAGACATGACAGCAGCCTTTGTATTGGACTATGAACTCCTCTTTACTGGACTGCCAGGCTCCCCAAACAAAGCTGAAGTGTTTTGGTATTTGGTATTTATTAGGATCCTCATTAGCCGCTACAAAAGCATCAGCTCCTCTTCCTGGGGTCCACATGAAATATGACATAATGTATAGTACAGAACATTATTAGTTAAGGACTCAACTACATACATTTAAAACGTCACACATAGCCTACATATCTGTTCCCAGACATAACTATGGAGTGGATCATAATTTAGATATATGTCATACTACTCTCATCATAAAACATTTCCTTTTCTAATTGCAAGATTTGACTCAACCAAAAACTCTACCATTTTAATCCCCCCCCCCCCCCCTAAAAATAAATAAATAAATAACTAAGTTGATATCTAGGGTATAAGATGAGACAAAGTCGCCAAGTGTTTCTTAATCACAGACTTTTTAAAATATGAACTTTTCAGTCATCAAGTACTAAATGTGAAGGCGGATGAGAAAGTGGCCCTGCTGAGCTACTGATTCTCTTTTCAGTCAACTAATCTGCTCAAGATGAGCATTCCTCATATGTAGGAAGAATGAGACTTAGTTCGGTTAACACAGATTGGTTGTTGTGTGCGCTTGTATGAATGTTTCTTGTTTTTTTAGACTAAATATTTTGAAACTGTGTCTCGTAGTCCCCTGTAGCTCAGTTGGTAGAGCATGGCGCCTGCAACGCCAGGGTTGTGGGTTCGATTCCCACGGGGGGGCCAGTATGAAAATGTATGCACTCACTAACTGTAAGTCGCTCTGGATAAGAGCGTCTGCTAAAATGACTAAAATGTAAATGATTTACACATGAAAGCCATTGATTGTCTCTCTCTCTTTATTTTAGTGCATCAAGACCTACAACTCTGACTTGCATGTCGTTACTTACAAGTACGAGGATTACTCCGGGGACTTTCGGCAGCTTCCAAAGTAAGCCTGTTGTTCAGAACGGTTGTCTTGACAGTACAATGTTGTATATCGTGTAACCAAGTGGTGACTTCCTCCTGGGCAAGTTAGTACAGCTACCCTCTAATGTAGGCCGAGATTTCACACTAAAGTCCACGCACACGCACACACGTGTCAGACAGTGTCAGGCTGTCTGTAATCTTCAATCAGCCTTAGTTACTGATTGGTGAGGAGATTTTGGCATGGATACCCTACAAGGAAATACAGGTTTTATTTTTTTAACCCGCAATAACAACGGAGACTTCCTGTTCAAGACAAACTCAGGTTATTCCTGGAGCAGTGGGATTTAGTCAGGGTGGAAACCACCCCCGGTTCTAAGAGTGTGTCATTAGTTCCAGGAATATGGTTTCAAGTGTCATCGTGGTGGAATTTGGACATAAAATGAAGCTGCCCCGACCTTGAGACTTGCCATTGATGTCAACAGCCCTTTGGTTAACATTCAGTGTCCAGGGAGGGGAAATTGAAACAATGAAATATGACACAAATTTTTACAATGGTTTTCCTGGGTTTAATTAGTTCGAGCTTCCTATGTAAGTGGGACCTGTACTGTACATTACATTAGGTTTAATTTCTTATATCAATGAATGACCTCTGATAGATAATGAATGACCTCTGACCTCCCGATAGATAAGATACAATCCTATATCCATATCCTTGTGTTTTACAGCAAAGTGTGCAGACCAGACAAACTGGCTGTCCACGTTTTTGAGATTGATGAAGATGTCGATAAAGATGAGGTAAGTGAATGTCTGTAGAAAGTTACAAATAACCAACTATTTAGCTAAGCCACTTGTGCTTATTCCAATCAGCTTTTACCTCAACTCTTGACCCTCAACCTGGCCCACCAGCTCCATGTACAAATCATCCTTAATACGAATAATCCTCCATACAGACAGACAGACAGACAGACAGACAGACAGAATAATTAATTAGGTTTCCATGCTCCCCTAAGACAGATTGTTGTGTTTAAATAGCACATGTTGTGTCTAAATAGCGCATGTTATGTCTAAAGAATAAAGGGTAATTAACTGCAGGACTTTGGTTCGCTGGCCGCCTCTCAAATGGTCTCTGGTTCTCTACTCTGCTTCTCATGCAGAGGTTCATGTGTTCACGGTCCCAGACTCCTCACTCCTCACAGCTCATGGGTTTGGCCCTTTTTGTTGTGAGCAAATTATTTTACATTTCGTGACTGCCTGATAATACAACTGTGAAACCTTAGCTAGAAACCTTTGGTCTGTGAACCATAGAGATGTATAATTCTGCTGTGAACAGTGTAAATTAGTCTTTGTTGGCCTTGAAGTGTCTTGTGAGACTGGGAGTCAGTGCACACCAGGGAGGCTATGGGGTCACCTGTGATCAAGCCAACCCTGAAGGGAGGCTGGATCACTGATGCCTATAGAAACCCTCAGAGGGACGGTGTTCTTTAGTGCATCACCCGAGGCAGTCTCAGGCTGTTGATGACGCTGATGTTATGCTTGCATCTCTTAAACTGCTAGGGTCATGTTGACATTTGCATCTGTCACATTCATGTGAATTATGTCTCCTTTATGTCGTGTCAGTCAATGCTCCCCTACAGGCATTCCATAGCAAAGGTCTTTAGAGTAATAAAGGGCGGCAGGTAGCTTAGTGGTTAAGAGCGTTGTGCCAGTAACCGAAAGGTTGCTGGTTCTAATCCCCGAGCCGACTAGGTGAAAAATCTGTCGATGTGCCCTTGAGCAAGGCACTTAACCCTAATTGCTCATGTAAGTCGCTCTGGATAAGAGCGTCTGCTAAATGACTAAAATGTAAATGTAATATTTATAGGGACTCGAGTGACCTTATTCACTTATCTGTGATTTAGGCAAATGGATTGTTGAGCCGAGAGACTAGCCCAGGTCACCAGAGGTCAGGGCCTGACCACTGAACCCCTCAGTCAAAGACAGGACAGTAAGAAGATAGGCAGAAAGTGCTTCTCCAATAGAAATCCCCGATCACGCTTGTAGGCGATGTCATGGCGACGTTGGCTAGCTAAGCTCATGCGCAGGAACACGTAATCGTATCAGAACTCAGGATAAGACCCAGATGCAGACAGTTCGAATCACAGATGTTTATTAACAAAACAGGGGGCAGGCAGACGACAGGTCAAGGGCAGGCAGAGGTCGGTAATCCAGAGCAGAGTCAGTAAGGGACAGAACGGCAGGCAGGCTCAGGGTCAAGGCAGGCAGAGTGGTCAAAACCAGAAACACTAGAAAAACAGGGGCTAGCGAGAAACAGGCATACGGGAAAACCACGTTGGTAGGCTTGACGAGACAAGACGAACTGGCAACAGACAAACAGAAAACGCAGGTATAAATACACAGGAGATAATGGGGACAAATGGGAGACACCTGGTGGGGGGTGGGGACAAGCACAGGACAGGTGAAACAGATCAGGGTGTGACAGATCGGGTCTAACGGTCGTCCCGCGCTGAACTGCGCATGTGCAGCCCATCAAATCAAAGGCACTCTTTTGATATAATGTTGTTTTTGCTGAAAATGTTTGTCACTTTCACCAGTCGGAGTAATAACATGTTCAACTACTTAAGACGTTGTCTCAAATCTAGATTGTGTCTTTAGATGTCGAGAAAATTAACAGCTAAGGAAGAATCTTTCACTTCTCTCATTGACTTCTCGAACCCCAAACCCCGGCCTGGTCTGCTTCGCAAGCATTCCCGGAAGTCTCGCGATGTTGCGTCTCTGGGTTTTGAAACTCTGAGCCTCAGTGAACATTAGAACTGAGAGGGGAGGGGCATTAGATCTGACGGGGGGGGGGGGGCATTAGGAGGGGCATTAGATCTGACAGGGAGGGGCATTAGATCTGATGGGGGGGGGGCATTAGATCTGATGGGGGGGGGGGCATTAGATCTGAGGGGGTGGGCATTTGACTGACGTATGTGAGGGGGGGGGGCATTAGGTCTGACAGTGGTGTGGGGCATTAGGTCTGACAGGGGAGGGGCATTTGTATCCTAGCTACAGACCCCTCAGTCACACGCAGGGAAGTGGGCCTTCTCCGAGCAGATGATAGTTATGATAGTTAAGGAAGTGGGCCTTCTCCGAGCAGATGATAGTTATGATAGTTTAAGGAAGTGGGCTTCTTCTCCGAGCAGATGATAGTTTATGATAGTTTAAGGAAGTGGGCCTTCTCCGAGCAGATGATAGTTATGATAGTTAAGGAAGTGGGCCTTCTCCGAGCAGATGACAGTTATGATAGTTAAGGAAGTGGGCCTTCTCCGAGCAGATGATAGTTATGATAGATAGGGAAGTGGGCCTTCTCCGAGCAGATGACAGTTATGATAGATAGGGAAGTGGGCCTTCTCCGAGCAGATGATAGTTATGATAGATAGGGAAGTGGGCCTTCTCCGAGCAGATTGACAGTTATGATAGTTAAGGAGTGGGCCTTCTCCGAGCAGATGATAGTTATGATAGATAGGGAAGTGGGCCTTCTCCGAGCATGATGACAGTTATGATAGATAGGGAAGTGGGGCCTTCTCCGAGCAATGATAGTTTATGATAGATGGAAGTGGGCCTTCTCCGAGCAGATGATAGTTATGATAGTTAAGGAAGTGGGGGCCTTCTCTCGAGCAATGATAGTTATGATAGTTAAGGAAGTGGGCCTTCTCCGAGCAGATGACAGTTATGATAGTTAAGGAAGTGGGCCTTCTCCGAGCAGATGATAGTTATGATAGATAGGGAAGTGGGCCTTCTCCGAGCAGATGACAGTTATGATAGATAGGGAAGTGGGCCTTCTCCGAGCAGATGATAGTTATGATAGATAGGGAAGTGGGCCTTCTCCGAGCAGATGACAGTTATGATAGTTAGGGAAGTGGGCCTTCTCCGAGCAGATGATAGTTATGATAGATAGGAAGTGGGCCTTCTCCGAGCAGATTGACAGTTATGATAGATAGGGAAGTGGGCCTTCTCCGAGCAGATGATAGTTTATGATAGATAGGGAAGTTTGGCCTTCTCCGAGCAGATGACAGTTATGATATAGTAGGGAAGTGGGCCATTCTCCGAGCAGATGATCAGTTATGATAGATAAGGGACGTGGGGCCTCTCCGAGCATATGACAGTTATGATAGATTAAGGAAGTGGGCCTTCCTCCGAGCAGATGATAGTATGATAGATAGGGAAAGTGGGCCGTCTCCAGGCAGAAGATGACAGTTATGATGATATGGGAAGTGGGCCTTCTCCGAGCAAATGATAGTTAGGATAGATAGGGAAGTGGGCCTTCTCCGAGCAGATGACCGTTATGATAGATAGGGAAGTGGGCCTTCTCTGAGCAGATGACAGTTATGATAGTTAAGGAAGTGAGCCTTTTCTCCTGAAATCCCCAAATAAATCCTCTCTCACACACACACACACACACAGAAACCCCAGCCCCATGTCTGTTCATGTATTTAAAGACAACAGCATTACCACAAGGCAGGGGTAAAGTGACCAACATGAAAACGTTTATGGTCAAATGTGTAATTGATTATGGAATTATTCTGCACTGTGTTGCATCTAAGGTTGATTGATACAACAGTTCAGTTAATCTGGTTGGTTTGGGTGTTACCAGGCAACATTTGCAGAGCTTTGGGGTTCACTGTAAGCAAACACAAGTAAATTGTCTGGTCCTCTGGTTGACTGGCGTCTTCTGGCCAGAGGGTGATAACTGGAAGCAGGCCATGAACGTTTCCAGACCCTCCTCTGATATGCTGAAAATATTCTGCGCTCTGCCAACACCTTTAAAGATATTTTACTGGATGAGAGGGGATAGTAATCATGTCATACAAAGTCATCTTGAAAACCCATTAATTATTTGTCCGTTTCTAAAAGCGTCTCTGGAACATTGGGTTTTACCTTCTGTAGTCTGTCAAAGAGAAGAGGCGTGAACACTCTGGACATGTGGAGGACCTGATGGAGACCAGGCCAGGGGTAAAACGCTGGTGCCCTATCTCCTCTTCCCTTTTACTACTCCCCTAATTGATTTATTTACACAGATCATTACGCCTCTGGAAGTCTTCATGGAATAGAGATGGTAGCCGTGTGTTTCGTCATGTGTTCTCTTTGCCAATGGATTGGATGGTTTCATGATAATAGCTGAGAATTGGGATGAAATGGTCACGAGCAGAAGCCATGGAGAGGGGCTGTTTATTTGGGTTCATAGTGGAGGTTAGTTGAATATGCTGGCTGCTTGTTTGGAGTCCAATAGACCTACACTCTTAGAAAAAAAAGGTGCTATCTAGAACCTAAACGGGTTCTTCAGCTATACCATAGTAGAACCCTTTGAAGAACCCTTTTTGGTGCCAGGTAAAACCCTTTCCACAGAGGGTTTTTACATGAAACCCCAAAAGGGTTCTACCTGGAACCAAAAAGGGTTCTACTTGGAACCAAAAATGGTTCTCATATGGGGACAGCCGAAGAACCCTTTTGGAGCCCTTTTTTTTCTAAGAGTGTCCATCAAACTGAGGCTGTTCTCATCTCGCCACGTCTCCTATACTGACATTTATATCAACCACAGGATCAAAGGGCCTTGCACAGAGCGTGGGTCCAGGTCATGTTTTGATGTGGTGCCGTGTATGTGATTGTGTATGTGTGTTTCTTGAGTGTGTCTGAGCCCATGCTCATGTCTCAACCAGGACACAGCCTCCCTAGGTTCCCAGAAAGGAGGGATCACCAAGCATGGCTGGCTGTACAAAGGCAACATGAACAGTGCCATCAGTGTCACCATGAGGGTGAGTGATCCTAATGGCGACGATGACACGAGCTATCTCTATGAGGAATGACTTTACACGGTGTGCCAGATGTGAGCAATAGTCCGTGCTCGTGTCTCCAGTGACAGAAGGATGTAGCTAGATTTTCATCAACACCATTTATCAGACAAGCTGATGGATTTTGTGAAATATTTATGGTCTTGAGTTCCTCCTAACCATCTGGGCCCAAATTATGCCTCTTGTTCTCTAATAATAGAAATGGGATTGTTATTGTTTTACTGTACTTTCCAGTCTTTCAAGAGGAGGTATTTCCACCTAACCCAGCTGGATGACAGCTCTTACAACCTGAACTTCTACAAGGATGAGAAGATCTCCAAAGAACCCAAAGGAACCATCTTCCTGGACTCCTGTATGGGAGTTGTTCAGGTGATATTGGGAACTCTGTGTCTAGGGATATTGGGAACTCTGTGTCTGGGATATTGGGAACTCTGTGTCTGGGATATTGGGAACTCTGTGTCTGGGATATTGGGAACTCTGTGTCTGGGATATTGGGAACTCTGTGTCTGGGATATTGGGAACTCTGTGTCTGGGATATTGGGAACTCTGTGTCTGGGATATTGGGAACTCTGTGTCTGGGATATTGGGAACTCTGTGTCTGGGATATTGGGAACTCTGTGTCTGGGATATTGGGAACTTTGTGTCTGGGATATTGTGAACTCTGTGTCTGGGATATTGTGAACTTTGTGTCTGGGAATGTGCTTTGACACCATAAATGATAACAATGGGATGAGTTCAGGTCATCTAGCCAGACATGCTTCCTTTCCAAAGATTTTACTTTCGAAAATATATTTACCTGTGTAAAATGTTATATGATCAGTAAAACTCAGCACAAGTTAAAGCTAGCAACAGTGTATCAATGAGGAAATGTTTCTGTCTGTATCGCTGCTGGGACCCTTCCCCAATCCCCATCTAAATGGGCTGAAACCAGACATCATACTACCATGCACTTTGCAGCAATCAATACCACATGCTATAGCTAGCAGGCGCACATCTCCCAGTCCCAAGACGGGCTTGAAGCATCATTATCTGTCTTCTACACACAAATGGATGGAAAGGTCCTGTTTTTACTGACCAAGCATTCAGCTCACATTAATCAGATGCATAAAAAGGAGTCATCAGTGTGGAGTTGAGAGCTCGGGCCAGGCCCTCTCGTGTCTCCTGCCCTACGGAAGTGGCTTTTATTGGGCCAGAGGAGAGGGAGGGTCCCCTGAATGGGGTGGGAGTGGAGGCGGAGGTGAGAGTGTGTACTTGGTATGGAGTGGAGCGTAGTGGGAGTGTGTACTTGGTATGGAGTGGAGCGTAGTGGGAGTGTGGTACTTGGTATGGAGTGGAAGCGTAGTGGGAGTGTGTACTTGGTATGGAGTGGAGCGTAGTGGGAGTGTGTACTTGGTATGGAGTGGGAGCGTAGTGGGAGTGTGTACTTGGTATGGAGTGGAGCGTAGTGGGAGTGTGTACTTGGTATGGAGTGGAGCGTAGTGGGAGTGTGTACTTGGTATGGAGTGGAGCGTAGTGGGAGTGTGTACTTGGTATGGAGTGGAGCTAGTGGAGTGTGTACGGTATGAGTGGAGCGTAGTGGGATGTGTGTACTGGTATGGAGTGGAGCGTAGTGGGAGTGTGTACTTGGTATGGAGTGGAGCGTAGTGGGAGTGTGTACTTGGTATGGAGTGGAGCGTAGTGGGAGTGTGTACTTGGTATGGAGTGGAGCGTAGTGGGAGTGTGTACTTGGTATGGAGTGGAGCGTAGTGGGAGTGTGTACTTGGTATGGAGTGGAGCGTAGTGGAAGTGTGTACTTGGTATGGAGTGGAGCGTAGTGGGAGTGTGTACTTGGTATGGAGTGGAGCGTAGTGGAAGTGTGTACTTGGTATGGAGTGGAGGTGGGAGTGTGTACTTGGTATGGAGTGGAGGCGGAGGTTGGGCGGTCACTTGAGTATATATGCTGTGCCTGCCCTCTCATTTGCTATCAACGCCCCCCTCACACACACTCCACACGCCACACACACTCCACACACCACACACACTCCACCAACGCCACACACACTCCACCAACGCCACACACACTCCACCAACGCCACACACTCCACCACGCCACACACACTCCACCAACGCCACACACACTCCACCAACGCCACACACACTCCACCAACGCCACACACACTCCACACCCACACCACTCCACACCAACCACACTCCACACTCCACACACCTCCACCAACTCCACACACACTCCACCAACTCCACACACCACTCCACCAACTCCACACACACTCCACCACACGCCACCCACACACTCCACCCACTCCACACCACACTCCACACCCCACACACCACTCCACCACAACTCCACACACACTCCACCAACCCACACCCTCCACCAACTCCACACACACTCCACCAACTCCACACACACTCCACCAACTGCCACACACACTCCACCAACTCCACACACATCCACCAACGCCACCCCTCAGGAGACTGAAAAGATTTGGCATGGGTCCCCAGATCCTCAAAAAGCTATACAGCTGCACCATCGAGATCATCCTGACCGGTTGCATCACCGCCTGGTATGGCAACTGCTCGGCGCTACAGAGGGTAGTGCGTACGGCCCAGTACATAACTGGGGCCAAGCTTCCTGCCATCCAGGACCTATATACTAGGCGGTGTCAGAGGAAAGGCCAAGAAATTGTCAAAGACTCCAGTCACCCAAGTCATAGACTGTTCTCTCTGCTACCGCATGGCAAGCAGTTCCGGAGTGCCAGGTCTAGGACCAAAAGGCTCCTTAACAGCTTCTACCCCCAAGCCATAAGACTGCTGAACAATTAATCAAATGGCCACCCGGACTATTTACATTGACAGCCCCCCCCCTCCATTTGTTTTTACACTGCTGCTACCCGCTGTCTATTATCTATGTATAGTCACTTTACCCCTACCTACAGTGCCTTGCAAAAGTATTCATCCCCCTTGGCGTTTTTCCTATTTTGTTGCATTACAACCTTAAATTGATTTTTATTTGGATTTCATGTAATGGACATACACAAAATAGTCAAATAAATAAAATAACTTGTTAAAAAAAAATCTCAAAAATAAATAACGGAAAAGTGGTGCGTGCATATGTATTCACCCCCTTTGCTATGAAGCCCCTAAATAAGATCTGGTGCAACCAATTACCTTCAGAAGTCACATAATTAGTTAAATAAAGTCCACCTGTGTGCAATCTAAGTGTCACATGATCTGTCACATGATCTCAGTATAGATACACCTGATCTGAAAGGCCCCAGAGTCTGCAACACCACTAAGCAAGGGGCACCACCAAGCAAGCGGCACCATGAAGACCAAGGAGCTCTCCAAACAGGTCAGGGACAAAGTTGTGAAGAAGTACAGATCAGGATTGGGGTTATAAAAAAATATCTGAAACTTTGAAAATCCCACGGAGCACCATTGGGGGGCCGCCCACCAAAACTCACGGACCAGGCAAGGAGGGCATTAATCAGAGAGGCAACAAAGAGACCAAAGATAACCCTGAAGGAGCTGCAAAGCTCCACAGCGGAGATTGGAGTATCTGTCCATAGGACCACTTTAAGCCGTACACTCCACAGAGCTGGACTTTACGGAAGAGTGGCCAGAAAAAAGCCATTGCTTAAAGCAAAAAAAATTTGCAAACACGTTTGGTGTTCGCCAAAAGGCATGTGGGAGACTCCCCAAACATATGGAAGAATGTACTCTGGTCAGATGAGACTAAAATTGAGCAGGACTAAGCATACTGCTAAAGCAACACTCAAGTTGTTTAAGGGGAAACATTTAAATGTCTTGGAATGGTATAGTCAAAGCCCAGACCTCAATCCAATTGAGAATCTGTGGTATGACTTAAAGATTGCTGTACACCAGCGGAACCCATCCAACTTGAAGGAGCAGGAGCAGTTTTGCCTTGAAGAATGGGCAAAAATCCCAGTGGCTAGATGTGCCAATCTTATAGAGACATACCCCAAGAGACTTGCAGCTGTAATTGCTGTAAAAGGTGACTCTACAAAGTATTGAATTTGGGGGGGTGAATAGTTATGCACGCTCCAGTTTTCAGTTTTTTTGTCTTATTTCTTGTTTGTTTCACCCCAAAAAATATTTAGCATCTTCAAAGTGGTAGGCATGTTGTGTAAATCAAATGATACCACCCCCCAAAAAACAATTTTAATTCCAGGTTGTAAGGCAACCCTCTCCCTCCTCTCCTCTCCTCTCCCTTCCCTCCCCTCCCCTCCCCTCCCCTCCCCTCCCCTCCCCTCTCCTCTCCTCTCCTCTCCTCTCCTCTCCTCTCCTCTCCTCTCCTCTCCTCTCCTCTCCTCTCCTCTCCTCTCCTCTCCTCTCCCTCCTCTCTCTCCTCTTCCTCTCCTCTCCCTCCCCTCTCCCTCCCTCTCCGCTCCCCCCCCTCCCCTCTCCTCTCCTCTCCTCATCCCTCTCTGCTCCTCTCCTCTCCTCCCTCCCTCTCCTCTCCTCATCCTCTCCTCTCCTCTCCTCTCCTCTCCTCTCCTCTCCTCATCCTCTCTCCTCTCCTCTCCTCATCCTCTCCCTCTCTCCCTCATCCTCTCACTCTCCTCTCTCTCCTGCCTCCTCCTCTCCTCCCCTCCCTCCTCTCCTTCCTCTCCCCTTCTTTCTCCCTCCCTCTCCCTCCCTCTCCCTCCTTTCTTCTCCCTCCCCCCCTTTTCCTCCCCTCTCCCCCCCTCCTCCCCCTCCTTTTTTTCCTCCCTCTCCCCTTTTCCCTCCTTTCTCCTCTCCTCTCCTTCCTCTCCTCTCCCTCCCCTTCCCCTCCCCTCCCTCTCCTCCCTCCCTCTCCCTCCTCTCCTCTCCTCTCCTCTTCCTCCCTCCTCTCTCTCCTCTCTCCCTCCGTTTCCCCCTCCCTCTCCCCTCCCTCTCCCTCCTTTCTCCTCTCCCCTCCCTCTCCTCTCCCTCCCTCTCGCCTCCTTTCTCTCCCCCCTTTCCCTCTCCTCTCCCTCTCCTCCCTCTCCTCTCCTCTCCTCTCCTCTCCTCCTCCCTCTCCTCTCCTCCCTTCTTTCTCCGCCTCCCTCTCCCTCTCCCTCTCCTCCTTTCCTTCTCCTCCCCTCCTCCCTCCCCTCTCTTCTCCCTCTCCTGCTCTTCTCCCCCCTCTCCCCTCCTTTCTCCCTCTCCCCCTCCCTCTCCCTCCTTCTCCTCTCCTCTCCACTCCTCCCTCCCTCCCTCCTCCTCCCCTTCCCCCCTCCCTCTCCTCTCCTCGTCCCTCTTTCCTCCCTCCTCCCTCTCCTCTCTCCTTCTTTCTCTTTCTCCCTCCCCCTCCCCTCTCCCTCTTTCTCCTGTCCTCTCCCCTCTCTTCTCTCCTCTCCCTCTTCTCTCCTCTCCTCTCTCCCTCCTTTCTCCCTCCCTCTCCACTCTCCCTCCTTTCTCCTCTCCTCTCCGCTCTCTTCTCTATTATCCTCTCCTCTCCCCTCTCTTCTCCCTCCTCTCCCATCCCCTCTCCTCTCTCTCCTCTCCCTCTGCATAATGTACTAAGGCTTTGTGTGCTAAACAACAGAGAGAGAGAGCCATCGGGAGAGGTTGTGTTTTTCTCTAGCAGGAGGTAAGATTTCTCATAGGGTGTTGAGTAAAGCTTAAACCATGTATTAGATCGTAGGTAGGTAGTTAGTTGTAGTTAGGTATTGTAGTTATTGTAGGTTAGTATTGTTGTTATTGTAGGTTTCCGTAGGTAATTATTGTAGGTTAGTATCGAAGCACGAGGCTAGCTAGCTAGCGGGTAGCTACTGGTAACGTTTAGCAACGGTGGAGAGCTGTTTCCAATGTTAATGTGCTGCTAGCCAACGTTTAATTTTTGCTGCGTTATGCGTTATGAAAGGAACTAGACACGGACATGAATTATCTGTTTAGTGTGTTAACACACTCTTGGCAGTTTGTTGTAACCAAGTATTGGTGCTAAACTGTGTGTTAATGGATGCTAGCATGCTAGTTAGCTATGGCGTCATAGCTAGGCATCGTGGGTTGTTGTGGGTAGTTACTGTAGGTTGGCAGTGTCTTTGATGTGACCAACAGGCCTGCATAGTTGACTCATTTCACAGTGGGAGTCCTTGCAGCTTAAGGGGTTGAAGGGTTCACGACCTACGGAACCCAGTACAGTGATGATCTACTCTCCAAGTAGAACACTGCCACTCACAGTTAATCTGTTATTTAGAGAACCCTGCTTATTAGTCCCTTGATGATGAATCCACTCTGACTCCTGTCCCAAACACCCCCATATCTAGTGTTTACTCTACTGGCCTTGAGCTAATGGCTCTCCCTCCCATACACCTCCCTCCCATACACCTCCCTCTCTGCAGGCTGAAAGGTTCAGCCTGATGTTATGTGGGGCTTTATTAAAACTCCCACTCGTGGCTAACTCAGTCCATGATTTATATAGAAACGTTCAGGCAATGTTTTGGGGAGGTTGTTTACACAACAGTGGAAGTATTGCACCTCAGCCTCCCTTGCTAAGATCTCCTGGACGTTAGAATCAACTCTATAATGATCAAAGCCTGGACGGTGGCTGACTGAATCACCAGCTTCGGGAGGTGTGTAATCGAGACGATCTGAGGGCGACCTGAGGCAGTTGCTGGCTGATTGGGGGTCGTAGGTCAACCCCACAGCTCCGGTCCAGAGCTGCTGACAGACTCGGTCCCTTTATAAGAACTCAGCTCCAGTGCCGGCAGCACTACGCTCTTTGTTGCCTAGCACCCTGCTCCTCTGTGTGTTCACTCAGTCTGTTTATTCCCTTCTGTGTCTCTCTAACCAACACAAATAAACAGTTTTTAAGCTTTCCTAAAGACCGAAATTATGGATAATGATGCTGTTGTTGTCAAATATGTACACATACCAGTTTAACTGTTTCCCTGTGTTTTCTTACCCTTTTAGTGTGTAAATAGATTAAAAATAAATAGATCAGTTCTGGGAGTTATTACAAAATCTCAAGTCAAAGTAAAAAGTAAATCAATTTCCACTGGGGGAGAGGATAGTTGTTTTCAGTTTTCTTCAAAGTGCCGTGAAACAACTCATAAAACCAAGCAGCTGCCTTCTGGTGACTTGGATGTTAACTTTTGGATCAGAACATTCTCTTTGAACCTGTTTTATTAACTGTTGGGCATTTGTTTTTAGACTGTAAGAAACACCCACTCACACTTGACCTGCACACACTGTAATCATCCTCAATTCATGCTGTTTTTTTGTGTGACGGTACGGCATTGCCTTTTTCTGTAGTTGACCCTCTGTTGCTATTCCTTAGCAACCTTCCCTCCGCCACAGCATCACCTAAACAATTATGTTCTCCCCTCCTCCCCTCCGCTGTGTCTGGCTGCAGAATAACAAGGTGCGGCGCTTTGCCTTTGAGCTGAAGATGCAGGACAAGAGCACGTACCTGCTGGCTGCCGACAGTGAGGGAGAGATGGAGGACTGGATCAGCACTTTCAACAAGATCCTCCACAGCAGCTTTGAGATCGCCATGCAGGAGAAGAGGAACGGGGACATCCACGATGGTGTGTGGGCATGTGTGTGTGTGTGTGTGTGTGTGTGGGCATGTGTGCTGTGCGTGCGTGTGTGTGTGTGCGTGCGTGCGTGTGTGTCTGTGTGCGTGTGTGTTGTGTGTGTGTGTGTGTGTGTGTGTGTGTGCTGTGCGTGTGTGTGTGTGTGTGTGTCTGTCTGTGTGTTTGTGTTTTCAGAGTTCAAGGATGCGAGTTAAGAGTGGAGACAGATTTCCGTGTGAATTCTGTTAAAACATCGTCCTCTCTTTCAACAAAACCCCCTTAGTACAAGGAGAATGTGCTTCTCAAAGTGTCAGTAATACAAAGAAAACATCCCAGGGTTCACTGCAGTACGCTTGTCTGCCTGTCATGGCTACGTAAGGTGTACTTAGGCCATGGAGAAGAGGATGACTTTGGCTTACATTCTTTCATCACCCGCCCATGTAAATAACCCTGTTGCAGGGCATAGCTAGCATAAAGCACCACACTGATGGGCTGTAGTTGGCTCAGAGTAGTTTAAAACACCTTGGGAGCCAGATCGGGGAAGACTGAGATGATAGTGGTAGACTAGTTCCTGTACAAGCTAAAGCACATCATTAGCGGTCCTGTCTGTAAATGTGAATTCGGTGTTTACAAGACGTCTCCTCCTAGTCTGTGGTGATTGGTGGAGCTAGAGGACCACCCAGGTGTTTTAATACTCTCCTCCTGTCTGATCTAAGGCCTGAGCCAGGAGGAAAGAACACCGCTACTCTCAGTAAACCCCCTCAGCTTTTAGTAATCACGCTCGCCTAGGGGGAAAACAACCCAGTGGTTCCCATAGGGGGCTCTAGGATCTGATCTCAGGTCTGCTCTGTGTGTCTGTTCTCAGGGCAGTCTAGGTCACTGTTTACTCTACTTAGCTGTTAGTAATGTGTGATTTAAAGAAGAGGTGTGGTAATGGAGTTGTAAAATAGTGGAATTGTTGAACCTCTGTTTTCAATGGGTGCTCTGCTCTTTTTTTTTTCCTGTTGCAGATGACGAGCTGGGAAAGGCAGACAGTTCGTTGGGGAGTATGGACAGCTTTCAGGTGGGTCCTGTTTTCACTAACGGGTGGTCCCAAGCAGAAGGAGTCTTTATGCCCGTGTTCACATGAGACATAAAGTAGTTGCGCCATGAAATCACTTCCCCATGGTAGGTAGAGAGCAGCCAGCCAGTCAGCCTCCTCCCCAAACCTATGGCTTTAATTAGCTTCAACTGATGTGTTTGCGCCTCCATTTTAAGCATTATGTTCTATCTCTAGTAAGACCTGACAGAGCAAAAAATAGATAAGATCTTGCTACCATGGAAAGGAAAATACCTGTCTGTTCGTTGAAAAATCCCCCCTGATTAACTCTTTAGTCATATCCCTGTTTACCTATTTGCTTATGGCCTTGCCTACACCTAGCGACCTTTTAAAAAAAATTATATGATCCAAAAATATTCAATTTTATTTGGAACGGCAAGCCAGACGAAATTTAACGGGCCTATTTATATCATGAATATGAATTCGGAGGGCAGAAATTATTAAATATTAAAGCATTTGACCTCTCACTAAAGGCTTCAGTCATACAAAAGGTATGCTTAAATCCGAACTGGTTCTCTAGCAGATTAGTCTCACCTTAGAACCTCTCGCTTTCGGTTATTTGAAAATGAAATCATCTCCAAAACAGTGTTATTTTTAATACAAGCCATAGGTTGCAATTTCAGTTTAATCAACCAGAAAAGACAGAACAAATAATAGAACAAATATTATTGTTAAACTCAAATATACTAATTGATTTTAAAAAAAACTAATTGCAGCATTACCGCAAAAATGGAAGAGGCAAGTGGAAGCAGGAAAAAGTAAGGAACTTGTCTGTCGGCCCTGCATTAAAGACCAAAATTGGTTAAAGGACATTGTGATAAATAAAAAAGTATGCCAGTTTCATTTAAGGACCAAAAAATGACAGCTGTGCCATATTAATTGCAAAATAGTTGGGAAGAGATTTTCGCTGTACCAATTCCATGGCACATGGTTTATGAACTGATACGCAAAACGACGGCGGATTCAAAACTTTGCATTTTTTCATTTAAATTATTATAGAAAATACTTGCAAACAATAGAATGTTATATATATGGGGGAATCAACCATCCCAGCTCTGCAGATTTTTCTGCGAAGAGACAGAATCATTAGATCATTTGTTTTGGTACTGTCCATATGTAGCTTGTTTTTGGTCGCAGGTCCAGGAATGGCTGAAGGATTGCAACATTTACCTGGAGCTAACTCTGCAAATAGCACTGCTGGGTGATTTGAAAAGTCATAGTCAATCGATCAATAATATAATAATACTTTTAGCAAAAATATATATCTTTAATTTACAATCTGTAGAACTATGAGAATAGAAAGGTTCAGAACTTTTGTGAAACATCACAGTACATTTGAAAAATATATGGCAAATAAAATTAAAAAGAGATAGATGGGAGGGGTTGAGTGGAGCTGAAGGGTGGGACTAAAAACAACAAGATAACTAATGTAAAATATAGTGTGTCCGTAAAATGTATATAGGTTCAGAACTTTTGTGAAACAGCACAGTTAGAAATATAGTATCCCATTTAGCAGACGCTTTTATCCAAAGCGACTTACAGTCATGTGTGCATACATTTTTACGTATGGGTGGTCCCGGGGATCGAACCTACTACCCTGGCGTTACAAGCGCCATGCTCTACCAATTGTGCTACAGAGGACCATATATGGCCAATAGAAATCAAACTGGATGGTCTTCAGAGATAGATGGGAGGGGTTGAGGGTAGCTAAGGAATGGGATTAAAAACAAACAAAAGATAACTATTGTAAAATAGATTGTGTCCATAAAATGTATATACAGTTGATGTCGGAAGTTTACATACACTTAGGTTGGAGTCATTAAAACTCGTTTTTCAACCACTCCACAAATGTATTGTTAACAAACTATAGTTTTGGCAAGTCGGTTAGGACATCTACTTTGTGCATGACACAAGTCATTTTTCCAACAATTGTTTACAGACAGATTATTTCACTTATAATTCACTGTATCACAATTCCAGTGGGTCAGAAGTTTACATACACTAAGTTGACTGTGCCTTTAAACAGCTTGGAAAATTCCAGAAAATGATGTCATGGCTTTAGAAGCTTCTGATAGGCTAATTGACATCATTTGATTCAATTGGAGGTGTACCTGTGGATGTATTTCAAGGCCTACCTTCAAACTCAGTGCCTCTTTGCTTGACATCATGGGAAAATCAAAAGAAATCAGCCAAGACCTCAGAAAAAGAATTGTAGATCTCCAGAAGTCTGGTTCATCCTTGGGAGCAATTTCCAAACGCCTGAAGGTACCACGTTCATCTGTACAAACAATAGTACGCAAGTATAAACACCATGGGACCACTCAGCCGTCATACCGCTCAGGAAGGAGACGCGTTCTGTCTCCTAGAGATGAACGTACTTTGGTGCGAAAAGTGCAAATCAATCCCAGAACAACAGCAAAGGAGCTTGTGAAGATGCTGGAAAAAAACTGGTACAAAAGTATCTATATCCACAGTAAAACGAGTCCTATATCGACATAACCTGAAAGGCCGCTCAGCAAGGAAGAAGCCACTGCTCCAAACCGCCATTAAAAAGCCAGACTATGGTTTGCAATTGCACATGGGGACAAAGATCTTACTTTTTGGAGAAATGTCCTCTGGTCTGATGAAACAAAAATAGAACTGTTTGGCCATAATGACCATCGTTATGTTTGGAGGAAAAAGGGGGGTGCTTGCAAGCCGAAGAACACCATCCCAACCGTGAAGCACGGGGGTGGCAGCATCATGCTGTGGGGGTGCTTTGCTGCAGGAGGGACTGGTGCACTTCACAAAATAGATGGCATCATGAGGAAGGAAATTTATGTGGATATATTGAAGCAACATCTCAAGACATCAGTCAGGACATTAAAGCTTGGTCGCAAATGGGTCTTCCAAATGGACAATGACCCCAAACATAATTCCAAAGTTGTGGCAAAATGGCTTAAGGACAACAAAGTCAAGGTATTGGAGTGGCCATCACAAAGCCCTGACCTCAATCCTATAGTAAATGTGTGGGCAGAACTGAAAAAGCGTGTGCGAGCAAGGAGGCCTACAAACCTGACTCAGTTACACCAGCTCTGTCAGGAGGAATGGGCCAAAATTCAGCTTGTGGAAGGCTACCCGAAACATTTGACCCAAGTTAAAGAATTTAAATGCAATGCTACCAAATACTAATTGAGTGTATGTAAACTTCTGACCCACTGGGAATGTGATGAAAGACTGTCACGCCCTGGCTCTGGGACTCTTATGTTGAGCCAGGGTGTGTAGCTTCTATATGTTTTGTGTTGTAGGTTGTGGGTCTAGTTTTTGCATTTCTATGTTGGCCAGGGTGGCTCCCAATCAGAGACGGCTGTAGCTCGTTGTCTCTGATTGGGAGCCATACTTAGGTAGCCGTTAGGCATTCGTTTGGTGTGGTTTCTTGTTCCGTATTGGTTTTGTGTAGTGTAACCAAGGACGTCACGTTATCATTTGTTGTTTTGTTCGTGTGGTGACTCAAATAAATAAGTATGTTCACATTCCACGCTGCGCATTGGTCCTCTCTTCCCGACGATCGTGACAAACCATAAAAGCTGAAATAAATCATTCTCTCTACTATTATTCTGACATTTCACATTCTTAAAATAAATTGGTGATCCTAACTGACCTAAAACTGGGAATTTTGACTAGAATTAAATGTCAGGAATTGTGAAAAACTGAGTTTAAATGTATTTGGCTAAGGTGTATGTAAACTTCCGACTTCAACTGTGGTATGTATAAGCTGGAAGTAGAAGCCTAAGTGTTGTTGTTCATTAGTTTACTCCAATGAAGGGAGGGATGGTAGGGTTAAGGGGAACATAATGAAGACCTGACAGATACAAATAACAGCTCCTGCTGTTTGAAAAGCGACCAAAAGCAGGAGAGGAACCAATATCTGGTTCTTTCCCATAATGCAAAGCTACAGTAAGAGATTTCCATGACCATTTGCTGAAGCACTCAGTACTTGGGCAGACTTCAACGGCTGGGTTTCCAGTAACAGCCTGGGCTCTGGGCTGGACATCTGACTGTCTCCTAGGAGCCCCGAGGAGCCTATAGATAAGCCATACTGTATGTGCATGGAAACTGTTGGCAGCAGTTAACTAGCAAAGCAGACGTCCGACAGAGTGCTTTGACAGGCTTTGCTGTGGTGATGGCACCACCTGACTTTACCATTGAGTCTGTCTGTCTGCTCTCTCCTGATCAGTACGTTATAGGAAACCTCAACTCCAGATGGACTCAAATCAAGAGAAATGTTCAAATGATAAAAGCAGTTCAATCTGAAAATCTTTTGCTTAGTAAGGTTGTGGTCTGGTTATTTATTCGAAAAGAAATGTCTTGTCCTCAGAGTGCAAGAGATATTGAATCTAAAATGAGGAACGAGGCCAGATTGAAACTGTTCACCTTGGACCCGGACACACAGGTTAGTAACTATCGAGTTTTCAGAAAGACATTTGACAATCCCCCAGCTCCAAATTATGATTAAAATAAACCTAACCGCTCTTTTTGTCTCTTTAGAAACTTGACTTTTCAGGAATTGAGCCGGATATAAAGCAATATGAAGAAAAGTTTGGCAAGCGCATTTTGGTCAATTGCAATGACCTGGCCTTCAACCTGCAAAGCTGTGTAGCGGACAACGAGGAGGGACCAACAACAAATGTAAGCCAGATCTCCTTCCCTTGTTCTCCATGAGTCAGTGCTCAATGTGTACAGTCATACTATTGTTTTATAACAAGTATCTGCTCTGGAGAATGGGTGAGAGAGAAAGAGAGGGGTGGAGGGATCTCTGGTGTTTGTCTTTGTCGTGTGGGGGCTCTGGGTTAGCAACCAGCCGAGAGCCACAGTAATGGCGGAATTCACTGTCTAATGGAGGGCAGGCACAGCAGCCTGTCCATTACCGAGAGAACACGTCAATCTGTTCAGTGATACAGACCTGACAGAGACAGAGATACACTGAAAGGCACTCGGTCAGTCCCTTGTCCAACTCATGAACCTTCTGAGTCACTGTGACATCACAGTGTTCACTACACCAACTAGACACGTTTCCTGTTGCTTCGTTTCCAGGTGGAGCCATTCTATGTGACCCTGTCGCTGTTAGACATCCAGAACAGTAGGAAGATCTCGTCAGACTTCCATGTGGACCTGAACCACCCGTCCGTCAGACAGCTGGTGGCCGACCCCAGCAGCCAGTACATGAACGGTGGTGGGGATGCCTTGCTGGGGGCGCAGAGGGGGATCCACGGCCTGCCTGAGGTGCCATGCAGTACCCCAGACAGGTGAAGAGATGATATTAATCTCTATAGAATATTTTGAGATATTTATCTCTTTCAATATGACAATGTGATTGATATACTTTAATTTAGCTACCTGTACAGATTACAGTCTGCATATTAAATGTTTTTAATGGTGTGGGGATGTCACGGTTCAGACAGACGACCAGAGGACCACAATAGCGTCACACCAGAAAGTTTATTAACTTAAGGGAAAAAGGGAAGTAGGGAGTGAATGAAGGCTCCAGGGGTAACAGGGATCCCGTCCAATGCGCTGGGGTCTGTGCCCCCCCCCAGTGGCAGCGATGCGTCCTATGAAGCCGGTGGTGGGTGGTCCAGAAGTCCTGGGGGGGGGAACACAGACACAACAGGGCGGAATGGTAAACCAGGCAGCAGTACAGTTCAAGGGAAATCCAAAATCGTAGTAGGCAAGGCAGAAGGCTGGTCAGAGTTACCCGGGATTGAAGAGTAGTCAGGAGTCGTAATGGCAGAAGCAGGTCTGGATCTCCTGAGGCAGAAGAGTATCCAAAAAACAGGCAGGTCCGGGGTCACAAAAACCAGGGTGAGCCAGAAGCGCGAGCAAACAGGTTCCGGGTGTGAGCATTGCAGACGATCTGGACACCGGAGAGCTGAAAGACAGGGCCTTAAATACTGGGAGAGGTATTGGGTAATGCAGCGCAGCTGCAGAGTATGCAGAGCAGGAGAGCGAAGGTTGAGCAAAAACAGGAGCGC